AGTGGCGATGACAGACGCGAGATACAGCATCGCGACGCGATGCAAACGATTTCACGGGAGAATTTACGGGCGAGAGGTAAGCGCGCCCGAGATCCGACGAATTTTCGAATTCCTCTTCCTCCTCCTCCTCCTCTTCGTATTCCGTTAAATAAGCGACTCTTCCGAATCTTGAGCGCGTATCCCGGAAATCTCTCCATTTCTCTCGCGCGATCCATATTCTTTTCTCTCTCTCTCTCTCTCTCTTTTTTTCTTTTCTCTACACGAGCATAGAATCCCGCGCATTAATCACCGTTTCGCGTCGTTTTACCCCGGTTCGCTTATCGGTGGCTGGAGATCGGTACGATTTCCCCAGGAAACATCGCAACCATCGCGTTCGAATCGAGGCGCAAAAAAAGAGAGAGAGGGAGGGAGAGAGAGAGAGAGAGAGAAAAAATCGATGGAAAAGCCACGGGAACCTCTACAGGGGATTCGACGAAGCCACGATCCGTTTATTACAAGCGGGCCAAGATTTATGGAGGCCGCTTCGAGATTAATATTCCGAGAGAGGTCTCCGGCTGCAAATTTTACCCCGTTGTCTCGCGACATCTCGCATTTGCGCGCGATTTAACCTAACTCCCTTCCTCTCTTTCCCTCCTCCTCCCCTTTCATCTTTGAGCCGACGATTTTCGAAGCGGAGAAACAATTGGGAGGGGGAAAAAAGAATCGAAAACGAGAAGATTGTACACTCCTTCGAGGTGTGCGAATATAATCGCGTGCCAATTAATCGACGTAATTCCCTTCCCGACAAACAACAAACTTGATCGATCAACAAACTATGAACGGAGATTCAAACGGAGATTTGGTTAACGCGAAGATTAATTGATTTTGCTCTTTCTTATCGGATACGGGAGTCGTTCGAAGATCCGTTCTCTCTAGTTTCAGGATAATCGATCGAGGATTTATCCCGGAGAAACGAGAAGATGTAAAGGGAACGTGTTCAAGAGAAATCGGGATAGATCCTTGGCCGACCTAAATAAAGGGAAAATGAAGAGAGAGGGAGAGAGATATCCGTGCTCCAGATTTTGTATATCGCGTTTTAATTACGTATTACGTAGCCTTCAGAGAGAGAAAGAGAGGAAGAAAGTTTTTTAAAGAACCGGCAGGAAGTCGCGCTTTCGCCGGTGTTTGGGATTCGAAGGCTCGTAAAATAAAAAAAAAAAAAAAA